CATTTAAAAAAATGCTAACAAATATCATTTTCACCTTTAAAAAAATAGGAAAAAATAAGGGCTAAATATAATTTAGCATTATGCTATATTCGGTACTAACGGGAAGATAAAAGGGATTTACAGTAAATGAGAGCTACTTTCCTTATAATAAACAAAGAGTAAAAAGGATATTTGATACATTTTTATTAAGAATTATATTCACTCATACAGAAACTGCTTATCATGGATGCAGATTGAATATAGTTTATTTTAGATAATAACTTAAATGCTAGTCTTTAAATGTATGCTTTCAATAGCTATATATCTCTAGATTTTAAAAAAAGTACAAACAGAATTAAAAATGGAGCTGAAGTATGCTTCATATACATAATTGTAAGGAGAAAATATGTACTCTAGTAAGTTAAAGATAGTCAAAAAAGAAATACAAATTTTTTATATAAATTAAAAAGTTTGTTACTGATATCCTTCATATTCGATGATGATTAAAATTGCTTGTTTTTTTCATAAATCCTTATGAGATTTGTTTCTTGAGAATAAAAAGAGAATTATAAAGATTTCAATGAACATTTATCAAAAAAAATAAAATAAAACACTTGTTGTAATCATAGTTATATGTTTGTTTCATTTTCATGAATCTTTTGTTATTCGCTATTTTTATTTTTATATAGGAAATTTAATATAATAACAATTTCAGAAGTGCTTTAGAACAAAGGCAAAACTTCAAATTATATTCGCTTATTAGATCGAAGTAATTCCAAGGATATCAATTAAGACTCCGCATGAAATGTGACAGCCTCATTCCATTAGTCTCATGAGATGCAACACTTTTGAAAGATGTTACATGCGATGGAATCGAACGAAAAATTTTTGAAGTTTGTCTCGTTCCATGAAGCAAACATCTTTTATATAAAGCTTTTTTTTTTATTAAGAACAACACAATCGTTTTGATATATTTATGTTGTTCACGCTTATTGGACCGAGACAAACAAGTGAGAAATAATTTTTTTTACTCGGTAGACGGTTAAGCAAATTGAGAAGTGTGTTAATAAATTATACTTTTTTAAGAAATATTCGATGAATATGAAGTTCCATAATATGAGATATGATCTAAATATTCACTGTTAAATTATTCGTAAAGTATTTTTCGAAGTTTAAACTTTAACATAAGTGTTCATTTTTGAACTTGTTGACTTCATAAATTTAGTTAAAAAAAATCAATCGTCTATCTCTACATAATATTGATTTGATTTCAAGATGTCATGTTCGATCACGAAAATCTGATAATATATTTATTTAATAAAGCATGTTTTATTTTAATGATAAACTATAATCATGAACTGATTTATGATAGTGTTCATTCTGTTTAAAAAGAAAAAAGAATGAGCAACGTCCGTAACATTTTGTTATTTTTAACTGTATGACACCGACAAAAAGAATACGACACTCAAACTCGATTTTTTTTTCTTTCGTTTAATAAATCTGACGGTACAATTTTGTAAAAAGCATGAACCCGTGTCGCTAGTTGTTATATTACGAAAAAATATTCTTTACTATTGATCATCGTGACAAGATAAAATAACAAATAAATTATTTCTAAAACTATTTATAAATATATATAAAATAATTATTTGTTCAATTTCCTTTTATGAGTCTATTAAATCATTGGTTCAACATAGCTTTAAGCATGTAAACGTTAGGGTTTTTTTTGTTGTTCTTGCGTCCGAACGAACGAACGAGCGGTCGTTCATGTACTTTGTCCGTCCGTCTTATTAGTCCATATGATTTTTTTCCTTGTTGTATTGATGTCGATTGCTTGACTGGCAGTTTTCATCGTTAAGTTCTTTTTCTCTTTCGATTCTTTTTTTTTCTTTCTTTCTTTCTTTCTTTCTCCAACATTTTTCTATTTGCTTTCTTCTTCGTCTCTCATAGAATAACTACAACAGCGACATTGGCAGATATGTCGTGCGGAGTTAAATCAATCTTGGTCAGATATTTATCGCCAACATTTTAATTGATTAAAAACAAACAAAATAAAGATCTTTAAAATGGTTTGTTATAGAAAACAAAACTAATTAAAAGCAAATGATTAATTTTTGTCGATTTTCTTTTTTTATTTTAGATTGCAATGTCGCGTAGCACGGCTAAAACTAATGCTGGAACAACAAGTAAACAACAACAACAGCAGCAACCACAATCTATACATCATCCATATTATACAAATAACTCAGGTATACCATCTTATTCATCATCAAGTACATCCTCATCAAATTCTTCCGCGACACTTGCTTCATCAACAAATGAAAATGAACCTGGCGGTAAATAATTTATTTTCAACTTATTTATTATTTTAATAATTTATTCATTTTAGATTTTCTTATTGGTTATGGTGCATTTGGTGTTATATGGTACGTTTATTTAATAAAAACGAAAAAAACAAAACGATTTTTATAAATTTTTAGGGCGGTTACTGACCCACGAACAAGCCGACGTGTTGCATTAAAAAAGATGCCTAATGTTTTTCAATCAGTTGTTGCTGCTCGACGAGCTTTTCGCGAAATAAAAATGCTATGCACATTTCGACATGATAATGTAATTTTATTAAAAATAAAAAAAATTTTTTTTTTGAGTCGAAATGTTTGTTTGTTTGTTAAAGATTCTACAAGCTGTTGATATTCTTCAACCACCTAGTCAAATAGATTTATTCAATGAAGTGTAAGTGATTGAATTAAAGAATTCAAAAGAAAAATATTTTGTTTAGGTATATTTTAACGGAATTAATGCAAATTGATTTACACAAAATTATTGTTTCACAACAACCTTTATCAATTGATCATTGTAAAGTTTTTCTTTATCAAATACTTCGAGGTAATGAATGAAAATTTTATTTACTTTAAAATGAAATTTTTTATTTTAGGACTTAAATTTCTTCATTCAGCTGGAGTTATTCACCGAGATTTAAAACCTGGAAATCTTTTAGTTAATAGCGATTGTTTGTTAAAGGTAATTTATTAAACAAAGAAGTTCTGTTCAACATAATTTATGTTTCTTTAGATTTGTGATTTTGGTTTAGCCCGCACTGAAGAACTTGATAAAACAAAATGTATGACACAGGAAGTTGTTACACAATATTATCGTGCACCTGAATTATTACTTGGTGCTCATCATTATTCCTATGCCATTGATGTATGGAGTGTTGGTTGTATATTCGCTGAATTACTTGGACGAAGAATTTTATTTCAAGCATCATCACCGCTTAAACAAGTAAATTTAATTTTTCTTTTTTGTTCAAAGAAAATTTTCTTACATATATTTTTTTTCTAGCTTGACTTAATAATTAATCTGCTTGGCAGTCCACCATTAGATGAGATATCTACAGCATGTGATGGTGCTAAATCTTATATATTATCAAAAACTTGGCGTGCTGCAAAAGTCAATATGCTTTATTCTTTATCAAAAAATGTAACTCATGAAGCTGTACAACTTTTATTACGAATGTTAACATGGGATCCAAGAAAAAGAATAACAATACATCAAGCACTTGGTATAGATTTTATTTGCATAGCCAAAAAGAAAAGAATAATACTATTCATGTGTATATGATTTTTCTAGAAAATAATTATATTCATGAAGGACGCATTCGTTATCATTCATGTATGTGTCGTTGTTGTTTTTCGACACCAAATGGACGACAATATACAGTTAATCTTGAACCTGTACGTGGTTTTCGATATGATGATTCAGATGAAAATTTTTGTAGTATGCGACAAGCAAAAGGTATTATAGAAATTTTATATTTCAAAAACAACAGATTTTTATTTTTCAATTTTAGAATACATGCATAAATTATTGACGGAATTCAGTCAAGCTAATACTGTACCTCTTAGGCTTAATCATGATTCACCATTATATAAAACATTTGCTACGTAATTAATTCATTAATTTGTAAAAAAAAAAAAAAAAAGAAGATTATTTTTAAATATATTTAGATCACAAGTCGCACAAGCTCATGAACTTCCACCATCACCTGTTGCTTGGGATAAGCTTTGATATTTCTCTCTCTCTCACTATATATATCTATATCTAATAATCTCATGTTTATCTCAATGATGAGATATATGTTTTTCTGTCAAGTACTTAGTGTATGTCTATTTCTCAGGGCTTAAATTTTCTTCCGTTTTTTTGCATGCGTTTGTTTTGTCCTTCTCTTAACTCAGGTGCATAAAAAAAATGAAAAGCAAAATGTTTATGTACGAACTTAGCTACCGGTTTTTTTGTGTGTCCGTGTTTTGTTGCTCAAAGCCTCACATCCTTGTTTTCTTTTTTCACTTGTCAGATTGTTTTGTTTTTTCAAGATCCCTTCATATGAGCATGTATATGTCTTTTTGTTTTTCGATATATTAGGAAGTCTTTTGTCTTTGTGTGTCAGATATTGTCTAAATGCTAGCATTTTTTGGTTTTCTTCTTTTTTTGTTTGTTGTTGTTGTTGTTCTATGTCTACGAGCATGGCAATATCGAATAATAGATTAGCATTTATGTGGTATATATACTTGTACAAGTTTTTTTCGTGTTGTTGTCGAACTGATAAAGATTAGTTAAACGTTTTTGTTTTCTTGTCTATTATTTATTCTCTCGCTGACTTAATGAGTAAAACAATGAAGTCTCTTTTGCTTGACTTTGTTTTTGTTGATCATTAAATCTGTCTATGCTCTTTCTCGGGTGGTGTTTTGTTTTCTTTGTTTGTGTTTCTTTTTTTGTGCCTCGTGTACATACTTAGAAGAAGAAAAAAAACGAATCAAAGACTTCTGTTATTTCTTGTTCATCTCTTATTAGATCATTTTGTTTCTTTTTTCGCTTCTTTGTCGTCTTTTCCTCATATGTATCTGGTAAAGAGAACATGTGTGTGTGTGTGCAAACGATGAGAGAAAATACAACAATAAAAAAAGAAAAAACTAATGGAAACAAAATAATAAACATTTTATTCTAATTAGTTCATTTGTTTATTACTGTTCAGATGCATATAAAATTGTTGTTTCGTATGAATTTAGTTGATGGTGTTGTCGTGGAGGTCGAATAAATTGGATATAGAAGTTTTTCATTGCTGGCCCAGTCTGACGAAAAAAAGAAATTGAGTAAGCATTCTTTTATGGTAGTGAAATTCTTTTTTTTACATACAAGAATTGTTTGAACATCAGCTTCAAGACGTTTTGTTTCGTTATGTTTTAGTATTGACATTGGATCATGTCGATTGCTAATAGAACTTTAGCAAGAAAAAAAATTAGATAATAATTAAACAAGTACAGTTTTTTATTTACGTGATTATAGTTTCAGTTTCATTTGTTCGTTGAGAACCGATTGTTGAACCTGAACGTTTTGATTTTAATGTAGCTGGTATACTCTAGAAAACATTAGAAAAAATATTGATTAATAATGTTTATGTGAAATATTTACTGGAAATGATGGATTTGATTCTAAACATCGATTAGCTCGTGTATCAAAACGACTTTCACGTAATGATTGATTTATATAGACTTGTCTGGAAAGTTATTATCAACAAAATAAAATGAAGAAAAAATAAAAAGGAATCTATTTGTATTTACATCTCTTTTTGAAGACCATGAACAAAACGTTGATATTTAATGTCATCTTTATTTAGTTTTGATGAATTAGTTCGTTTTCTTGTTAGTGATCGATGTTTGTTTCGTTGTCGTAGGATTTCTGATAATTCAGGAATTTCCACTAATGGCGATGTATTATGTTTTCGTTGTCTAGATAATAACTGATATTCTTCATCATTCATTGACATTGTTGAATTTCTATTTCTTTTTTAAATAAAGAACTAAAGCGAGAAAGAATTTTATTTGCAAGGTTAAATAACCCATTATATTTGTGGAAAGTAAAAAAAGAAAAGAAAAAGTTGACATGAAAAGAATAATATGATTTGTTCTTTCAATGTTTTAAATCGTTTTTGTTTTCTTTTTTAGAAATATGTTCTCAAGTGGTTTACAATCGAATTTTAATATTATTGAACCAATACCTCGCTTTTTTACTATTCGGTTTGGTTGTCGAAAAGAAATAGATGATGACGGTGATGATGATGATGATCATAGTGGCAATAATAATGAACAGAAGTCTAATGAGGTTAATTTAAGAAAAAAGATTTTCAAAATAAGGAGTAAGCTGAATGTTTCTAAATAAAATATTTGACTATTTTTCGCATATTTATGTGTATTTTTACAAACTATTGAGGAAGTCTATCGTAAGAAAAATGACTGTTGGTCACAAGTCTGCCATTTTTGTATCATTTTGTAGAGTAGAAATCACTCTCATTTATTATATTTATTTATAGAACTATTTGATGCGCACTTGTCTTCAAAAATATAAGATTTTAATCTCTATATTCTGAAAGAGCACAAAACTGTGATTCTAATACACCACTTCTCACTCTTTTTCCATTCATTTTAATATGCAAAAAAGAGTCTAATATCTTACCGAGAAACTTTTGGCCCATCCATTATGTATGATTTGTAATGTTCAATTGATTACTATTTTAGATCATTCGACCATCAGTAATATCAACGAATGATGACAATAATTCATCAATGCTCATCACTGGAATTCGAAATCGTGATTGGAGTTTTAATGATGATCTTCGACATACTAATGAGAAAACTATACCTAATATCAAATATCAAATAGTACCTTCAATGAGCAATACTATTAAAAATCGTTCGACTAAGTAATTTTAATGAAAATCACAGTTCAACTGTTTTTTTTTCAATTCATTTTACTTTCTCTAGTTTTATGATTGATAATAATGGAAATCAATACGAAGAATATGATCTTGATGAACAAGATTTTCAATGGCTTATAGCGTATAATCAATTTCGTATTGAAAAACGTAAGAATTTATGATTGAGAATATGTATATTCTTTTCTTTGAAACTAATCAAGAATGATGAATCCTTGATATCGAGTGATCTAGAAGAAATAAATAATTTCTTATATAAATTTATACGTATAATCTCAGTCATTTTTTTCCCGTTTCTATACCAAAAGATGCGCCATGAAATCCTCTCAGAAAAACCGTATTGAATGTTTTATTACAAAATATGACGATGAAAGACTGCGAAAAATACTGACGAGGGAACAATATCAGATGTCCGTATCTTTTTGAGCTGATATTTGTTCTTTTTTCAGTACCATTTTTATTAGAACCTAAACTGTTTTTCTTCATGATTTTTATAATTTTAAGATTTATCATCCGGAAACTTCTTATCATTGCAACGTTGGAAAGTGTAGTATAATCTAGCTATCATAAAGTTCACTCTCGAAAAGATTTACAGTCCTTTTATGTGTATGGAAAATACTCGAAAAATTCAAAACTTCACCAGGAACACCCCTAGACACAAATTCTATGGCGAGAGGATGCAGACACACAGGAATATATACCCTCGTGAGAAGCTCCGAAGTCGTCAACCTTCTAAACCATTTTGTAGCCTGTAGAAAGTCTTTCTAAAAGTTTACACAAGCGACAGGATATAGATGACAGAAAAGATGGAATTCTTGGAATGAACTAATTAAAATAGAAAATTTTTATCGTTTCATTCTAGCTATTGAATGTATTCTAATTGGATCTAACAAACAAATCATTTCTTCATAGAATAAAATAAGTTTGAGTCCACAATACTGTTTTAGGAGAGATATGAGAATTTTCTAAACTTTGACGTTTCTTAATATTTTTCATAGAGTTTTCATTTTTATATTTTGTAATACAATATTCAATTCGATTTTTGTAGCTAATGCATGGCACATTTTAATGTGTTTTGCACTACCCAATTTATGATCAGTGGCGTAATTAAAGAGAGTGAGATACTAGGCATGCTGAGTTCCTTCATCAGTCAGAGCCCAGCCATGCTAGGCACCTCGGTTATCAAAACTAGACTTCGCCACTAGTATGATATTTTAACTCTGAATAGATTTGCCTGAACTTGATGAAAATATTTTTGAATATATTATGCAATTACTTGAACACCAATGTTTATTGGCTATTCGACAGAAAAACTATGAAGATACAATTCAATGTGATGCTTGTCATCGTGTAATTATTGTTTTTATTTTCATTAAAATTTATGCTTGGATTGTTCTTTGTTCAGATTGATGATGTTGATGATCTGATTCAATGCATGCAATGCAAAACTATTGTTCATAAGGTTAAAATAATGACTTATGAATTCTTTAAATCTACTTATATTTTTAGAAGTGTTATGGGATTGATGACGATGAAAATGAATGGCAGTGTCTTTCATGTCAATGTGACAATGATCAGCATTTATGTTGTTTATGTGATAAAAGTGGAGGAGCATTAAAAATTTTAAAAACATCTTCGTAATTTTTTTTCATGTTCATATTAGAAAAAAAATTTAACTTTTTTTATTTAAAGAGATCAAAAACAATGGGTTCATCTTTCATGTGCATTTTGGCTTCCTACAGTTGAATTTGATGAAAAAATGATACCAATTTTGAAAGATACTTTTGTATTAAATAGGTTTTTTTGAATTTAATACTCATATATTAGAATTGTTCATTTAAATAGAAATATGATGGACGTTGTTTAATATGTAATAAAACAACTGGTGTAAAAATAAATTGTTGTTGGAAAAATTGTCAAAATCGATTTCATCCGTTATGTGCAATAGATGCTGGTCAAGATATGATTATAGCGGAAAGTGATGATAAAGTTTTAGTTCGATTAATTGTATGAAAATTTTTCTCTTTTTATTATTTAACTATATTTTTGATTATTTTATTTATTAGGCACTTTGTCATCGACATACAGAAAAACTTGATTTATCAGAAAAACGAGTACGAAGAAATAAATTTCTAGAAAATCAACAAAAACTGTATGCTATTAATTATTCTTACGTTAGTCTATTATATTCATAATATTATTTATTTAGATTTGAACAATTTACATCCTATATAGATTTAGAAAGTATTAAAAAACAAACATCAATTCTTCCAGATATTCTTGAAAGTATTCATACATATTGGGTTCTTAAACGACAGGTAAGATATAATTAATATTAAGATTTCAATATAATATTGATTTTTGATTTTAGGCAAATAATGGTCGACCTTTGATTGATATACCAGATGATATTTTCTATCATGGATATAATAAAAATGTTAATTTATTAGAATTTTCTCGTCAGTATTATGTCAATCATCAACATCAAACTACAAATTTTACTGAAAATAAATCGAATGTATTACAATTTCTGACAACCAATATAGTAACGTCTTCTTCATCAAATAATAATCTATTTATTAAATTTGCTCGACGTAATCGAACACATTTTATTAATTATGAACGAAATCTTTTTTGCTTATTAGATGGTGATAAAAAGAAACGAGAAGATTTTTTAGAAAGTCTATCATCGATTAAAGAAAATTCGTAGCATAATATCGTGTCAGATCTAGTTTCATATAGATTATATTTCTACATTTCAAAATTAAATAAAACTGATCATGTTTTTAATTCGAACTTTTTTTTTATTAGTCATAGAGATCATGAAAATCACAAGATGAACTAATAGATATTGGAATAAACGTCAATGTTTGAAGTCAACGAAGGAGTTCGTGACAAAATTAGCAGAAGAATGATTCAAAAACATTTAAATGAAAGAAAAACGTCCCGTATTATCAGTAACGTCGAAATTGTGAGATAAGTTTTTCCTGTTTCTTAAAAAAGTAAATCGAAGACAGAACACGTACTAATTGCTATGTCAATAGAAGTGAGAACAACATCAACTGTAGGACTTGAGAGCACGACAAGAAACTCTATCTTTGACGCATGTGCAATAATTATCTACTTTTGTTGTTGATGTATATGATTACTGTGAACAATACTTAATTGAAAATACTATTCATAGAATAGCAAAATTGATTTGATTTTACTTATTAATCTTTGATAAAAGTTACGAAAAGAAATCGAGTATTCAGAACTATGTTGTTTGTATCAAATTGGTTTTCATAATTTGGTTCCGTCGACTTTTAATCTTCTTCTCTTGATTACATAAACTATAAAAAAGTGATCTTTCGAGGAAATATTACATGAATCTGTTCATTTAAAAGATGAATCTTTAAAATCCACATAATATTTAATCGAAATCTTAATTCATCTTCAGTATAATTTAAATTTTTGAATTCTTCTCGAAGTATAATTTTAATTCTATAAGACTCTTTAGATTTTATATTTACTGTAAATGCTATCTGTCAACTTTGAACTTCTACTTGCATACGTGATTGAAATATAAATCCTATCTTCCTCCGCACTTATGATAATTAAGTCTTTCATAATTGATGTGCTATGTAGAAATAAATACGATAAGAACAATCGAGTCTATCTTAACAAATCATTTAACTCTATTAAGTAATGGCAACACGACGTTCATCCGTAGGCACAATATTGTTTACTTATTATCCTCTATGTTTAACATGTATGACAACAATATTGAACAGTTTGACATTAATAATTCTCTATCAAAAAGTGTTTCGTCAACGACCGACTATACTTTATATGCGAGTTATAGCATTGATTGATATATTTATACTTTATGGTTGGAATTTAGATCATTTTTTTCGTTTAAAATTTGGTTTTGAAATTGATCGATTAACAGTTGTATCATGTAAATTATCAACATATATTAACCATTTTCTAAATCAATCTTCAGCTTGGTTACGTGTTTGGATGTGCGTTGATCGTTTTAGTGCATTAAATCAAATTCGACAAAGTCGAACAAATAATCGATATCGTCGTGTTGTATTTTTTATTGTTTTTACATTTATTATAGTAGCACTCATTAATCTACATTTACCTATATTTGCATGTTATTCGTATAATAATGGAACAAAAGTATCTGGCAATTCACTTTATTTTTCTCTTTATCCATCATGGAGTTATATTAATTTAGCATTATATAATATAATACCATTTATTTTAATGTTAATTTTTAATATATTAATTATTCGACATTTAATTTTAATAAAAAAAACATCATCATTACAACGATCTCGTATTCGACATTCATCAATATCAATGCCAATACTTTTATCAGCATTTCTTTTTTGTATTATGACAACACCACCAGCAGTTATATTTGCTTTTTTTCATAAACAACTTCAATCAGACATATTTCAAACTCTTTTACTTAGTCTTTTAGATTCAATTAAATATACTTATCATTCGTTATCATTTTTCTTATATTTTATAACATTAGTCGAATTTCGAAAAGAATTTTTTCGCTTATTACATTGTCGATGTATAAATACAAATAGATTATCACAAATTATCAGTACTGTTACTAGTGGAAGAGCTAATCAATATAAAATAACATCGATTCCAATTACGACAATTACAAAATAAAAAATATTACGAATAAGAAAGGTTTTAATTGTATTTTTTTTTCATTATTATAAATATATTCTTAGTCAAAACTGTTTAATCAAACATTTTTGACAATAAAATAATTAGAACTTTTAGAATAACTTTACAGTCTGTTTTTTTTTTCATTACTAAATTACGAAGTATTTCGTTGATGCAGCAAGGGAAGCTGACAGTCCTGTAGATTCCGTCCAATCATACTTTGAAACTCTGAATGAAATTTTCTGATGGGAACTGGGTGATCGTCCCGAAAATACGAGTTGCTTTTTTCCGTTTTTTTGTATTCGATGAGTAGCACATCGTAGAACTTTCTCAGGCGACTAGAATCTGCCAGACACAAAATATTCAAAACCGAACCTAAATATACGTTACATTACAGTTTCAAGAATTAATGGCAAAAGTAAAAAGCTACGATCATAAAACTTCACAAGAAAATCTTTCACATATTCTAGTGAAAGTTCAAACAAATTGATTCTTTAAATATATTTCTCCTTGGTTGTACCGTTATTTGGCCCTTTTTGTTATTCTTTAGATTTATTTACTTAAAAGAATAAATCGTTGAAAAGTCAATCTTATAAAAATATGTCACTTATTTAAAAGTTAATACCTTACATAGATTGAATCAATCTAAAAACTGATTTCTTACTTGTGAATGTTAACTCTTCTGTTTGTGTTACATTAATGTGCTTCTATTGTTCATTGAATGAATTCTCAAAGTCTATCAGTATTATCTATCGAATCTATCTTACTATTTATCTTGACATCGGAATGCGCTAGTTTAAGCGTTTAGCAGAAAATATATCAAATGTTGAAAAAATCAATTTTCAAGAAGTCAGTCAGGAAATAATACATTTAATATAAATCTATGTCTAAATATCATTTTATTCTTATTTGCACGATTAGAAAAATAAACAAGAGATGTGTATGGTTTATGATTTCGATTTATTTTTCACAATTTGTAATTCTTTAGATATTGTTTTTTTCAATGATGATGATCCAGTTTCTGTTGTTGTAGCTGGAACGAATTTCGTTTTCGCTTTTTGATGATGTAAATCATTTGAACATGATGCAGTACTAATATCACTACCTTGAAAACCAAGACCTTCATGATGTGTATGTAAAATTTTTGATTGTAAACCTTCATTAAATTGTTTTTCTAATTCGAGATTAATTGCTTCATTTTCTGTTTCTAAATATATATTAAATAAGTTTTTTGTACTTTGATGTATATAATAGAAAAACAAAGTTAAACTAACTTGAACGACAATGTTTCTTTTCAGATAAATGTATTTCATTATGAGTTATGTTAGAAGAATCTTTGTTATTTGTTCGGCTTTCATCTTTACGCTTCTAAAAATAAAATTTCATTGTATATTTTCTTTTTTTTGATTTAATGTTTCTTTCTTCTATATTACTTTTGCACCCATTAATCGAAGAAATTTTTGTTTGCGTAATTCATCTCCTAGATCAGCATGTTCCCAATCGTTAGTCGTGTGAATCTGAACGAGGAACAAGTTTCAAATTAGAAACTATGTTTCACTGAAAGATTGATAGAAAAATGAAATCTTTTTCTATTTGAGACCTATGTTTAGACTTCTATTAAATACCTCTTCAATTGGAATTTCGTCAGTATTGATTTGCTTTTCTCTATTGTTACCATCAGTGATTTGATCATGATGTTCTTTCATTGAATGTTTAGGAGAATATGAGCCTTTTTTCCTGTGTGTTGTCGACATAATTAAGATGAGCTGTATTTAGAAACAAAAAGAAGAAAGAAAATCATCTCTCTTTGAATTATCCAATGATTTTTTTATACAGATCAGCAGCTGTCATAATCAAGATGTCGCTTGTGAACAATCTTTGTTTTTCGTTTTGCATTTGTCGTTATTCACTGTCCTATAAAGGCAGTAAAAAGCTTTTCTCCATGGAAATATTCATTTTATATAGCTAGTTATAATCGAGAACATGAATTATATTAGGAATCAAAACATTATTGATAGTTAGTTGATGCATTATTTGTGTTGTTGATCTCTATCGTCGATAGTAACATTTTGAATATTTATTATAGTATCTTGATTTTCTGATTCATATTGATTTTGTTTTCTTAGTTTGTTCTTCAATGAAATTGGACTTTACTCATATTTAGTAATATTCATAAGACATGTAGCATTTCAGCCGAAATCATAGTGAAAGGATAAATTATGGCATACTTTTGAATATCAACTATCTGGTTACTTCATGGTGAAAAAAAAGTTACTACTTGCCATGCTTTAATACATTCATAGATCACAACACGAGAAATGACTATAAGTGAACTAAAAAATAAAAGCCAATCGAGCATAATACCGAACGGTATATGTATATAACATTCTTGGAATAGATTGTGATAGTTTATCATTAATGAAGAGATAATACTTAGTGTTAACCAAGAGTTGTGATCATGATGTTTTACATTTTATAAAATAGTTAATATCGAAAGTTTTATTACATAAATACTTAGTAGAATGTCTCGCCTACAATAATGTACATAACGACACTATCTCAGATTTAATTGGCACATTGTTTTAGATAAAATTTACTTAGGGCTAATCAAAAGCTCTGATAACATCAAATAAAAATACAAGAAGAAAGAGATACTTTTAGTTTTATTTTATTACATGTTCTAAATAGTTAACATTATTATTTATACAAAGTTCCATCCTTTCTAAAAGTTTGCCCAAAGCTTTTTAAAACTATTTTTCAGGAATATTCTATACTATCTTAGAAATTTCCCGAGATAGTGATTCTTCGTTTGCTTGATCAGTCAAATATTCGCATAGCCACTGTATTATAGACTTTATTTAAAAGAATGTTAGAATTAAATCCAAGATAGAGTTGTCATATACATATTATTGCAGACTAAGTATTCTACTATGTATTCATACAATAAAACTCTCAATATTAGCTATTTTATAAAATTTAAAATACCATGATCAGAACGATTTGGTTAATTTTAAGCAGGCCCAAGTACTGTTAGACGTCGATTATGTGAAAATGAAGGGAGTTATATTATATTGTCCACTTTTAAAAGAGCATCTACTCACAGAAAAACATTGTGAGCAACGACTCATCTGAACACGACAGCTAGTGGTATATCGTGATGGGAGCTCAGTTGCTCTTCCCCCTTTCGTACGGAAATTTCTATTCATATAACTTTGATAATCAACATACTGATCATTTGAAGAATGAAGTGTTGTATATTTTGTTTCTGCCGGACAGAATATCAAAAGATAGTTAATGATTACTTTTTCTTTGAAATTTTTGACACTTCCTGTAAATAAAAGTGTAATAATTAGTGTAAAACCAAAGAAAGCAATTTATCTAATAAGATGCGCAGGGGAAAAAATGGTTAATTTAGTTACACCTCGAAAACAGTGAATCGTGTTTCACACGCATTTTTGATCACAATATTACACTTTCCCACAGAGCACACAACGTTAATTCATGAAAAATAATAAGATAAATACTCTTGGTTTTTGTTTTTATTCATTTGCGCAAAAGAAGAGTAAGCCTATATATTCGAACGTTGATGATGTTAGCAATAATGCAAATATTATTTCACAATCATTTGATTCATATGCATCTGTCACCAATGATAAATGTGCTGCAACTTCTTAAATGAAATCGTTTCAAAATGTTAACAATGGAAATGAACGAAGCCTATAACTTAAAGAAAAGACAATTAGTGGAAAATCTGCTGATATTATTGATACTACACTCTAAAAATGTTTCGTTTCCTGAAAAATCTTAACTCCCTTGGATACACCTTCGTAAACCTTTAGAGGTTTGCGAGAAGATTTCCAAGCATTAGAAGCATTTCTTGAAATACTTTCCTGGTTCCTGAAAATATCGATTTCAACACCCAGAAGATGCTTTAGAATACCTTTCTCTTTCTATCGAAAACCTATTAGTATTTTCAGAAACCGTTTAGGTATTATAGAGAACTAATATCGTCAGAAAACCTGAGTTGGTATCCGAAAATCCTCAATCTCAAAAACATATAATGGGAAATCGAAATCCATTTCTCAATTTTTGTGCCACATCAGAAAGGATTTCTGAATGTTCCACAAAGTGATCGTGGTCAGTCCAAAACTTCTCAACGAAACATTTTTTGTGCTCCAATTTTCTTTCTTAATCTTCTTTTTTGCTCAGTTTTAGAGACTTTCAGTTAACTGAGAACTGCTCATATATTTAGTATAACTGGTTTAATTAAGAAGGATTCTTTTTTCGCTTCATTTGTTTTTCGAAATCCGGAATCATTTCGTACTTTCTAAATAATTAGATGTTATCTTTATATTCTTAAGTTAGTCTCAATTTTAAATATATGAGGAAAAGTAAGATGTTAACGATTTGGAAACAAAATATTATTATTAGGCTAAAAAACAAACATTTTTCTCGCATTGTTCTATTAAATTTCAATAAAACAACGATTTAGTATATTCATTTTAGTTTTTTACAGTGGTCTAAACTGAGCACACCACAAGCTTCTGGCATCATGTAACCATTGTAACTTGCTTAGGCGTGGGTGGGTGTCGCTGAAGCTGAGAGTAATATCCACACCTGATATAATCAAAATCCTGAATTATACATCACAGATAAAAAAATAATGATTTCTAGTACGAAAGAAAAGTTAGAATGGGTGCATGAGTTTTGAATACGTTGGATATTGAATCACACTCAAACTGTGCAGTAATCATATGATCAAAAAAACTATGACTAAAATTAGACAACGCATCTCATTGATAAAATCATTTAGACTATCCTGCTACATCTACTTACAACTACGACGAGCATTATTTTCATCATATGTACTTTTGATTATTTACCTGGATATATCAGCTTTTCTCACTCCTCTTCTGTAAGCAAAGGAACGATCTTTCACACTTCTACTACACATGTCTACGTCGAATAATGTTTTGTTCTCATTGGAACGAAAACTTTTTTGCGTGTGCCCTGAGCGAAATGTCATTCGGAGATAGATCTGCTACGTATTGGAACAAATATTTCGTAGTTTTAGCGGACGCGACTGACGGTGATTTAATGATCGAACAAGCTAATCTGAATGAGTTCAGGAAGACCTGTTCACAATGAGAGTTTTCAGCAAGATATCTGAGAAGATCCAGGAGATTTGTTGACCACACACCAATAATTGAAACACCTGTTAGATGGCTCTTCTCCGTTACATGTCCCACATCTGTTTCATACTATGATATAGAAGAGATGCAGCTACTTCAAGAGTTTCCAGAACCATTTTGCTTCCCATAAAGCAAAAAAAACAGATGTATTCTCACACCCCTCAATTCAAAAGCCACAAAACAATGATTAAAAGTTTAAACTAACAAAGACATTGGCCTCCTACGACTAATTCAATGTTTTAAATGCATTAAACATTTTTCTTCTCTGTTGCAAATGTGTTTCTCTATTTACTGGTCTTCCTCTTATTCATTTGTTATTCTGTACGTTGACTCTTTTCCTCACTACGTATCGTTGAATCTTTCCTTCGTTGTTATACTGTACTCTTGTTCTTTCATCACTAGATAATCCTCTGCAGTTTTCTCTGATTGTACTCATCTTCTCTCTATCACATTCTTCATTCTATTTTTTATTTTTTGTTTTCTTCCTCTACAGTTGTACTGCCAGGATCCATAAGAACATAATGAAGGCAGAATACAAAAAATTATGATTTCGTTTGTTTTGTTTTACGTTCGAATCGATTCGATACAAAGGATAGGTTCCATTTCAATAACCATAGACTAACAATTTCCCTTGTTTTCTCTTTGGATTCAAACCGATATGATCAAAATGAGAAATGACATTTTAACAATTGAGAACTAACAACATCTGTTGTCTTCTTGGTTCTGTGACATATAGCAAGGCATCGAAATCCATCATGTCACTCAAGTGTTTGTACAAGCCATATTGTCTTTCCGTTTTCACGAACTAGGAAACTTTTTATGCGTTTCTCAGATTAGTACCCGAAAAATTACTAAAAATAATTTGTCTGAACTTTTGAGACCTCGAAAATACTTGTTCTGAAATCCTTAGAGGGTCACAAATAGTAACAAAATCGGAAATCTTCTAACGGTTTCTCAGAAAGTGGGTTTTTAGAGTACTCTTAAACACACTCATATCCACACCTACACCCTAATCGGTTCTCTCAATGTTTTTGTTGACTCTCTCACACACTTCGTTGTAGTCCGAAACTTTTTACCACCGAGAAAACATTTCCATAGGCGATATGAAGCCTTTCACATTACTCTGTCACATTGCTAGACTTTCTGAAGCTTTTTACGTTTCCTCTACAGTCGAAAAGTGTTCATTGTCTCTACATTAGATTCATTGGTGTAACCTAAAAGTCGACACAGTTATCTTAAGATCTGAATGGATTCTTCGATGTTCTGTTGCTTTGCTAATGTATATCTCTATTCCTGAAAAATTTGCAGTGCCATAGAAATGTTTTAATGGCTAACTTGAAATTTCTCATGTTGACTTTTATATATCGCCGAATTTCAGAAACTTTTGCGGACTCTTTTGCATTATGTGCAGCCCTACAGTATTTGCCATGAGTAAAACACATTCATTGGTTGTTCCACTTTGTTTTCAGTCGTGAACATATTTTGATAGGTTGCATTAGGCTTTCTTCCCTTCT